CAAGAAAAGCGCATGCATCCGAGCCCTCCGCTTTTTCGGGTAGGCCGACCATCCTTAAATTTGAACGGCGCCCGCGATCTTCCAGGTCTTGAATCTTGTTGGTTAATACCTCGACCGTTTGCTCCAGTTTCTTAGCCCTCTGCCTGTGCGTAGTGACATCCTCCTCCGTTTGCGATATTCTGTCCTCGGCCTCACCGATTCTTTTGGAGTGTGATATCAGCTCCGTTTTAAAGCCATTAATGGCTTCAAGCATATCAGACGATTGCCTAATCATATCGTCTTTTAATGACTGGATGGCCGAAAGAATTGAATTCGCGGAGTTGCTCCCAATAGCGTCACTCTGCTCGCTAGCTGTTAGCTTGCTTGCTTGTTCCTCAGTTTGTGACTGTAATTTCGGCTGATGCCCCGGCTTTATGTTTTTTGGTGGCATAGTCAATTGCAGGGTTGTTTCTTTTAGCTTTATATTTCTTGAGGGTACGTTTTGGTCACTTTGCAGGATTAATTTAAAGAAAGTTAGCGCCAGCTCAAGTCAGCGTGACCTAACAGCTACACGCCATAACCGGAAGTCTCTGACTCACTTATTGACAGGAATAACATCGCCAGTACGGAGAAGCAGATGGAGAAATAGCTGAGGAGGATCGAAAAATCAGGGCTCCCAGGGAAGTTTAAAGCATGGTTCTATCAACACTGACTGTTGCCAAGACTCATGTGGCTGCCGACTGTGTATGAAGTCCCAATGACACGCATTGAAGGACTGGAGAGGAAGATCAAAAAGTGGTTGGGAATCCCTCCAAGCTTCACTGCAGTTGGCCTTTACATAAGATCAAGGCAGCTCCAACTTCCTCTGTCATCTGTGGTGGAGTAATTCAAAGTTGCAAAGTGCAGAGTCATAATGACATACAGGGACTCCCAGGATGAACAAGTCAGACAAGCAGGTGTCATCACAAGATCAGGACACAAGTGGACAGCTGGCTCATCTGTTGCACAAACTGAGAGCATGCTGAAACTACGTGACATCATTGGAGCGCCATGCACAGGAAGACAGGGACTTGGAATCTCCCATTTCCAACAGTGGGGCAAGGCAGGAACCAGTGACAGAAGAGCCATGATTCAAGATGTGGTACGGACCCTGGAAGAGGAGGGACAAAGGTCAAGGCAGTGGAACTAGCTTCCCAAGAAGCCTGGACCGAATAGGACCTTCCCAAGAGGAAAATCACCTGGGTGGACCTATGGAGACTGAAGCCATTCTGCATCTCCTTCCTGCTGAGGTCGGCGTACGACACACTCCCTACCCCAACAAACTTGCACAAGTGGGGTATGAGAGAGGACCCATTGTGAAAGCTGTGTGGGGAGAGAGGCACCATGGTGCATATCCTGTCTGGGTGTAAAACAGCACTCACCCAAGGAAGGTACATATGGCGCCACGACAAGGTGCTCATGACACTTGCTAACGCCTTAGAGCAGGAGAGAAGAAAGAAACGGCAACCACTCCAGAAAACAACATCAATCCAGTTTGTTAGGGAGGGGGAGAAGCCACCAACCACAGTGACAACAAGAACCAGTCTGCTACAAAAGGCTGCAGTTCCCCCAGATTTTCCCAACAACCCTGAGGCCGGATGTGGTACTGTGGTCTGGATAGGCAAAAAAGATAATCCTCATAGAACTTATGGTCCCATGGGAAGAGGGGTGTGAACAGGCCTTTGAAAGGAAGAGCGCCAAATACCAAGACCTTCTGCAGGACTGAAGGGGGAAGGGATGGCAGGCATGGCTGTTCCCCGTTGAGGTCGGCTGTAGAGGATTCCCTGTGCAGTCAGTATGGAGAATGCTCACAGCCATGGGGATGACAGGATTGGAAAGAAAGGCAGCAGCTTGCAGAATGGGGGAGGCAGCAGAAAGGGCCTCTTGCTGGTTATGGAGCAGGAGAGGGGAGGTAAGCTGGAAGCCAGGAGGGGAAGATGGGCAGTGACTTGGCCACCACTGCCAACCCACCATCAGGAGGGTGTTGTGGATAAGGGTCGAAATACCCAATGATCGATGGGTACCACCTGATAACATCAACCCCTCCTGGCCAAGGCTACATTCACTCAAGGTGAATGAAGGCAAGGAGCATCTTAGGATGTATATGTAATCTATCATCTATGGTCCCCACGTGCTTGTATGCATGCCTGACAATGTTGGGGTATGCTCCTTATGAGACAACAGATGGTGTCCTGGGGGATCTCCTCCAAGATCTGGACCAGGGCATCACTGAGCTCCTGGACAGCCTGATGTGCAACCTGGTGGTGTCAGATGGACCAAAACATAATGTCCATGGGGTGTTCTATTGGCATGGGGCCAGTCAATGGTATCAATTCCTTCATCCTTCAAGAACTGCCTGCATACTCTAGCCACATGAGGCTGGGCATTGTCGTGCATCAGGAGAAACCCAGGACCCACTGCACCAGCGTAGGGTCTGACAGTGGGTCCAAGGATTTCATCCCAATACCTAATGGCAGTCAAGGTGCCATTGTCTAGTCCAGGGGAGGTCAATCTTACCCGCAAAGGGCCGGTGTGCATGCGGGTTCACTGCAACTCCCTAATTAGATTACTAATTAGAGGACTGATTCGCTGGTCCTTACACCTGAGGTTTGAACAGCTGACCTATACAGGTTACCCCAAAAACCTGCATACACACCAGCCCTTTGCGGATAAGATTGGCCACCCCTGGTCTAGCCTGTAGAGGTCTGTGCGTCCCTCCATGGATATGCCTCCCCAGACCATCACTGACCCACCACCAAACCAGTCATGCTGAACAATGCTACAGGTACCATATTGTTCTCCACGTCTGTCACATGTCCACAGGGTGAATCTGCTCTCATCTGTGAAAAGCACAGGGCACCAGTGGCAGACCTGCCAATTCTGGTATTCTCTGGCAAATGCCAATTCAGCTTTATGGTGCCAGGCAGTGAGCACTGGGCCCACTATAGGATGTTGGGCCTTCAGGCCACCCTCATGAAATCTGTTTCTGAATATTTGGTCAGAGACATTCACACCAGTGGCTTGCTGGAGGTCATTCATAGGGCTCTAGCAGTGCTCATCCTGTTCCTCCTTGCACAAAGGAGCAGATACCAGTCCTGCTGATTGGTTAAGGACCATAGCCCTGTCTAGCTCTCCTAGAGCAACTGCCTATCTCCTGGAATCTCCTCCATGCCCTTGAGACTGCTGGTAAACACAGCAAACCTTCTGGCAATGGCACGTATTGATGCACCATCCTGGAGCAGTTGGACTACCTGTGCCACCCCTGCAGGGTCCAGGTATCATCTCTATAATACTGTCTGAGGCAAATTCAAAACTAGAAGAAGAAAAAAACAGAAAAGATGAGGAAGGAAAAATGTCAGTGGCCTCCACCTGTTAAACCATTCCTGTTTTGGGGGTTGCCTAATTGTTGCCCTGCTAGTGCACCTGTTGTTAATTTCTTTAACACCAAAGCAGCTGAACCTGATTAACAACCCCCTCTGCTACTTAACTGATCAGATCAAAATCCCAGAAGTTTAATTGACTTGAGGCTATACTCTTTATTAAAAAGTGTTTAATGATAACTTTTTGTAAGGGTTCATTTGCTTTTGTGTAATATTGTAATACAAAATATTTCCATACAGCACAAGACAAATGTGCCACGTGGTGTATTAGTGAGGCCAATAGCAAGGATGAGAATGATTATGATTGTCTCTGAGAGTGCATGCAGAGCTCAAGTAAAACCAGCAGCGTTTTTTATTTTATTTTTAAACATATACTTGATGAAAAGGAATTGTAAAGCCTGTCAAGTTTTGTTTCCTATGAAATTCAAATAAAAAACCAGATAAACAGATTGAAGTATTGCTAAATTGCAAAAGGTCTATATTTTTCTCCTGATGTATTGCTTTTTTCCCTGTGCATTTAACTAACAAGAAAGTTTGTCATTTTTGTGAAATAATAATAGCAAGCTAAAAAAGTTCATAGTTATTAATTGTAAAATGCACATTTGTTTGAAAATGAAATTTTCCAAATATTCCTTTCTGATTTAACGGGCTAATATGTATTTTTAGATCTAGTCTTAACACTTGATTTATGTGATTTATCTCCTGATAAATATTTGCATATGTCAATCTTTGTAGAGCCCAGTTGGTTCAAGCAATTAACGTAAGATCCTGGAATAAGCCTACTATGGGAAATGTTTAGGCTGTGCACTAGTGAATGCGTGCAGTTCTATAATTTTCCCTGTAATTAGTGTCGGAACTGCGACATTTTACCGAGAAACTTATCTCCGTAAATTGGGCCTATAGAGACGCCACTGTAATTACTTGTATATAGTGAATAGCCGCTGTTTTCCTGTGTCTTTTTGATTTTAATGAAGATAAAATTAAAACGATACAGGCGACGAATTCTCTCTTGGAAATATATATTTTAGAAATTCGGAAAGGCATATGAAGATCAAATTTTCATTTATGGGTAAACCCTTAGAACCTGACAAACGCAAAATGAGTCGCATTAATCTAGCTCTGCCAAGAAAATCTGTTGCATTATTTACTAAATTTATTTCACGTTTTGTTTGCGTAATTTCTAAACATTTTAACATGTATGACTTACATATCTATTGCTGGATAATAATATTAAATTAGTCATTTCCTTTTTTATTTTTCCGCAGCTCGGATTTTTACCATGCCCATAAAAGGATCAGATAACATTCAGCTCGGTATTTGTTTTGCGAGTGACCGATACTAGAGAAACTGAATTACTCAGCAGCCGGTCTAAACCATGTGCTTACACGAAGAGGAGGGTTTATTTGAATGTACCTTCGGCAAAAAGAATAAAAATCGCTCGGAAAATGCCATATTGCTATTCATAGCAGTTATAAAGGGGGTTTCTCGTTTTAACAAATACAGCAGATGTGTATTATGTTTACTTGTTGGTAATACTTCTTCGCAACATTTTACAAACCCCTGGTGACTTTTTGCGACTTCCCTTGTAAACCTTCACTAGCTCACCTGTCCAGCTAATTTGCATACAAAAGTTAAGCTGAAATGGAGGGTTTACCTGTGTCGTAGTGTCAAAATATATGTAAACTAAACCAAAGGTCAATTTCTGTTTTATTTTGTTGGAAAGTATCATAACTTGTATTGCTAGCTATATCAAGTTATATAGTGGATTATCTTTAAAAGTTTCAACTATGTTTCTGATGTCGGGTGTCGTCGTTTTTTTATTTGGTAAGTGTTTCTTTTTCGATTGCGTGATTATTGTAGTACTATAGTTTTTAAAGCCCCATAGAAACATGTTCAGAAGGTAAAATTTTATTTGATATATATTTATTACTTTTTGAAGTAGTAATAAGCACCCTTCTGGTTTAACCTAGCAGAGTTGCTCTTAGGCCCTACAACCAGGAAGGGGATTTTCGGTATAGGGTATTACGTGTTATATTTGTGTATTATCAGTGCTTGTCTTTTAAAACTCAAAGTATATGAATAAAAATGTGCTCTGTTTTTGGCGGAGGATTTCGTAAACGTGAAGCGTAGGCTTGTTGGAGCAGGTCTCTGCGATTACGAATGAGTCATGGCAATGTGAATTTTCTAAGCGGGCTCCATTCTTTTAGTGCTACTCTGTGATTGTGAGTTTCACAAAACATATCCAGGCAGACTTTGTTTGGTTACTTGTATTGACGATAACGCTAGCGGTATCCCGCTACCTCGGCTCCCTTTGTAAGAGATTTATTTACCTATGCCCATGAACAGCTATAATGCTTTTTATGTGGCAAAGATACCTGTATCTGGTCAACACAGCACAACAAGATTATATACACACACATATATATATATATATGTGTGTGTGTGTGTGTGTGTGTGTGTGTGTGTGTAAAACATTTGGTTTCGTTTTAGCCGAGGCAGTTCACCTCGATTGCAGATTTTATAAGTTTATACTGATGAATATCTCATTCAAATAATACAGTAAAAGTCCTCTGGTTAAGAACGGCTAACTTAAGGACAACTCGTAGGTTACTTATGAACAGACAGACGTGAAGCCTGTTACATTTAAAAATTCGGGTTCAATACAATGGTTCGTTACAACGAAATCACGCACTACTTTGTGACGCCCACGAAGAGATTACGCGCCTTCAGAGGTTATTAACCTTTAATGTTTAATCCTTTAATAATTTCCCCCTGTTTTTTAAACTGCTTTAAGAACTGTTTCTTTAATGTTTTTTTAAGTACTATATAGCTACACATACATACACAGATTCTCTCTCTCTCTCCCTCTTCAGTATATCTTTTGTGGTTACTTTTATTATTGTGTTTTTACCTATTGTATTGAGTAGAAGCTGAAATCTATGTGGCACACTAATAGTTATTTTTTTATTATTATTATTATTAATTGACCATTGACAGGAACAGAATAGTTTTTAGGAAAAACATATAAAGAATTTTAAGTAGCATTGCGGAAATGTGTTGTACAGTAAATTAATTGGACTCATGTGCTGTCTCCATTTAAACTTATCTGTGCACTAAAGATCAAGAGTTCAATCACAGATTTACCATAAGTTGGATAACCCTGTCCATGTTTGGGGATAAAAGCACCTGGGTTGTTCTTGGTTGCAAAAGGGGGAAGGGGTGTGGCTAACTTGATTCTAATATTCTATTAATGTTAAATGGTTAAAATAATTACCCATTACCCACAAAATACCAATACCAATAACCCTTGAATTGGTTTTGTTTTTCCCTTAGGCTCTGCCATGGCCATCTCTGTCCAGTGCCCCACCAAGAAATATGTAGTTATCCTGTTCCAGCCAGTTACACTTACCTGCAACTACCAGACATCATCCATTCAGCCACCAGTGGTGACCTGGAAGTACAAGTCATTTTGTCGAGATCCCATCCAGGCAGCACTGAATCCCAGCAGTGCTGACAATGCTCTGGCCCAGGCAAACCCTAATTACAATCCAAACATCGAATGTTCCGATAGCACACGGACTGTTCGTATTGTTGCTTCCAAACAGGGCAGCACCGTCAGTCTTGGAGATTATTATCAGGCCCGCCAAATCAGCATCATCAACAGTGAGCACAGAGGCCATTTAAATTGTCATTCTCTGGTGTGGTAGTTGGGGTGAAGAGTACACATTTTAATCGATAATACCATATTGAGGACCCCTGACTGTCTCAAGTAATTCTGTCTAAGCGCTTCTTAGAAGATGACATAGTTCAAGGATCTCCTGACAAGTGCTTGATTTTATTGAAATTAATGGATTTGTGCTCAAAACAAAATTAGCTGTGTCTTTCAACTTTAATGCTGAACTCAGCTATACTTCACTGACCTACCATCCTTATCCTGTCTTCAGATGCAGACCTAAGCATAGCACTGACGGCTTGGGGTGATAGTGGCGTCTATATTTGCTCTGTAGTCTCCTCTCAGGACCTTACAGGAAACAGTGAAGACTATACGGAGCTTATAGTTCTGGGTGAGTTATTAATAGCATGTGTGTGATCCCTCACCCTCTACTAAACACCCCCATTTTAGCTGTGGCTCCATTACAGGTTAGGCCAGGTTTTCTAGAAGAGCTCACCTATTTAAGATCAGATTTACTTGTATCAGAAGTCAAAGGGTTTTTTATATTATAGATGTTTCCGTCTCTCACAAGTTTCTCTGTGAAGGACCTTAGATGTAGATTGAGAACAATGGTAAAGCGGACAAGTTAAGTAAGGAACCTTATTCGATGTTTGTCTTTCTTTCGCAGAGAGAAAGTCTAATACTACAGACCTCCTGCCTGGCATTGACTTACTGGTCATGGAAGGTACTTAACTTGCCCTCTAACCAGAGCTCCTGAATGCTTATGCGAAGGGATTTTTCGGGCATATGCCCCCCCGCAGGGTCCTTCACAAGAGAAACTTCCTGTGAGATATTAGTATATTAGAAAGCTGTGTTTAGATAGCTACATGCAAAGTTTGAGTCTTTTTGAAGCAGTGGAGGTACAGTAAATATGTAACTTTTTCATAACTATCAAGATTCAATGGCAACTTTTTTCTGTCCATGAAAATAGGTATTCGGTAAGTACATTTACTCTGTTTAAAATGGTTGTGTTCTCTGCGGTGGCCAAGTGTTGTATGACAGTGAGCATGACCAGTTCTTACCACATTCACAAAAACTTGTCTGATGTCACACAAACCAGCATGTCCTATGTCATAACCTGACACTATATATCGGTTATAATTTTTGGCTTTGTCCGGCTTAAGTTTATATTTTGAAAATGTGACCCTTTTAATAGCAGCAACATGAGAGTATTCAGTCATAGTAAAATGGGTAAACACATGGAGGACTTGGAAATGTTTGGCTATGAATCCTAACGCCTGCCGTAATGCTGTGTGTGTCTTCCCCTGTTGCTTTCAGACTGGTTGCTGGTGGTATTGGTGGTGTTGGGCTTCCTGTTACTTGTGCTCTTCATTGCGATTTGCTGGTGCCAGTGCTGCCCGCATACATGCTGCTGCTATGTCAGCTGCCCTTGCTGTCCTGAGAAGTGCTGCTGTCCCAGGGCTTGTGAGTATTAATCATCTGCTGTGGCCTAAACATAAAGCAGCACTTCAGGCATGATTCTTTTTCAGAATTTCCTGTTTATGAAATTAATTTATATTTGGATAAGCCACTGTGAAATTCAAACCATTTTGTTATTTAAAAAGGCTCATTTGGAAGTAGCTGCATATTGCTTGCCTGCTAAACACCTCATGGTTCTTCCTTGATCTCCATGGACAGTGTATGAGGCAGGAAAGGCGGTGAAGTCAGGTGTGCCGAGCATGTACGCCCCCACCCTCTATGCCCCTAGTATGTACGCTCAGCCCCCATATGGCAGCATGGTGCCAAACCCCTCTGCCATCCCAATGCTGCCCATGCCCACTGTCCCCCCATCAAACGGTTATGGCCAAGACTTGGATGGAGCCAGTTCAGGTAAGAAAGGTTGTTTTAAAATCATTGGCATCCCATTTGAGCTTCTCTGCTATGCTTCCTGTAATATCTGCCTGGCTTGTATGTGGACAAAAGTGTCTGTTAGCTAAACAAATAAATAAATAGGATATGCCCGATGCTCTCTCTGACCACCTCTGAATTGTGATGGATGAGGATAAGTCTTGTCTGTCTGTCAGTTAATTTATTGATTAAAATTTAATTTACCACAAAAGCAGCTAAATGGGTACATATTGTAGTTTCTCAGTTTTAAAAATTAATTTTATTGTGAGAAGAGCTTGGCTAAGTCTTTGTGATTGAATACGTTTTCCTTTTTTGCTGTAGTTGGACAAGGCTCCCAGGTTCCTTTACTGCACGATAGGGACACTGGGGGCAGCGGAAGTGAGTAAAATGCCATTGGAATCATGAAGCACAATTCCATCACCCACACACCTGAATTTGGTTTTGCTGTCTTGTTTAACTGTCACTAAGCTTGTTGTTAGCTTGTCTCAGCTAGTTCAATGTTTATAACTAACACTATTCTTTTGCATAAACAATTTGGTGACTTTTTAAAAACCGTAAAACAAAACTGAAAGAGGGGCTTTTCAGAGCCTTACAACGCAAAAGATTTGCTTTATATGACAACAGTATATGCCTGCTTTCAGCACGCAGTGGTTACCGCATCCAGGCCAACCCCGATGGAAATGCCACTCGTGTGCTGTACTACATGGAGAGGGAGCTGGCCAACCTGGACCCCACTGGACCCGGCGATAGCTCGGGCAATTACAACCGCTGTCAGTTTATTCATCTTTGTTGCTGCTTTTTCGTTATCGCCTCAGCACTTGGTTTTAGAGTCTCCGTCATGAATGTAATTTTACACTTTGCTGTGACCTTTCTATCAGTGATGGACAGGATGAGCGAGGTCAGCTCGCTGCACGATGACCTGGGCTCCCGAAATCGTGGCAGATCGCAGGCACCTCACCTGAGCACGGTGCCAGACCAGGACGAGAACATGAGCACTATTAGTAGTGTGTCCCAGTATGCCCGGCGCAACCACAGAGGGCCAGGGGGCAGTGATGCACCCTCTGGGGGATACATGGGTGCCCGTGGACGGGCACGCTCTGTCGATTACCTGGATGATGTTGCTCATAGTTACCATGACAACTATTCTCCCCCACGGGATGAAAGAGGAGCTAGAAGAGGCAGAGGAGGGTATATGCTAAATTTCCTATGATTGTTTTCCTATGCACCTAGAACACTGTAGCATATACTTCACTGTTTCAAGGCTGAAATGTAAAAATACCATCTTGTTTTCCTTTCCTTTTCTCATTCAGGTTAGATGAAGGAAGCATTTCTAGTGACTATAACCGATATGACAGGAACAGGCCTGATTACTCGCGTGATGACTGGCACCCAAGGGGAAGCAGATATGAGGGCAGGCGCAGCCGTAGCAGAGATGACCTGACAGACCTTGAGAGGGAGTATGGGAGGGGTGACAGAGATTACTATGATGATAGCTTCCTGACGGAGGCACTGCAGAGGAAGAAAATGGGTGAACAGCAACGGATCCGCAACCCAAACATCCATAGCAGAGATGACCTGGTGGACCTGGAGAGGGAGCGTGGGAGGGGTGACAGGGATCACTATGACGATGGTTTCCTGAAGGAGGCGCTGCAGAGGAAAAAAATGGGTGAGCAGCAGCGGGCCCGCAGTCGCGACAGGCTGGACAGTGAGAGTGAGCGCTCAGAGCGTAGCAGAACAGGGCGCGGGCCCCCGCCTTTACCCCTAGTGCCACCATCCTCCTACCCTGACCAACGAAATGACAACTTCCCGCCCCCTCCCCCACCCTACAGTGAGGATGAGAGCGTGGCGTCTTCCAAGAAAAGCAACCTGCGAAAGGTGAGTGTGAATCTTTACTGAAAGCAAAGTATTCTCTCACGCCATTTAGATGTTTATATGGACCTTAATAATGTCCATTATATATAGCCACATTTGTAATACTTGTAACTATGCATTGTATGTCTGAACTAGTATTATTCTACTAATACTGCTCTTTGCATTTACTTTCAGAATGGAGCTGTGAGTCGGGAGAGCTTGGTTGTGTAAAGTGCATTAAGTATGGGAATCTGTTTCTGGAAAAGATTACAGAATAAATCTGTAGCATGTTTTTATTCCATTTTATGAACTACTACTAGTACTTATTTGTAAAGCTTATTGAATACCTTTGGCTTTGTGTGCATATGCTTTTCTAATCAGTCAGTAAAAATGGGCAGGTTTAGGCTTGAGTTGATACAAATTTAATTGCTTGGAATCCCTGAACATTAAACTGTATGTAGCCTTGATTCATTATTTGCATATCCGCCTTTTCAATATGAATAGCTATGTACATCTTTTTTTTCATAATAAGTCAACAAGTGCATTTTTATATGGAGAACTTTTCTGTCTTTTTATCCTAAACATTTTGTATGTAGCTAAATATGTTAACTTTAACAATATAATTGTCTGTGACATTCTTGCAGGTGATTGGTGTCTGTGAAATATTGAATATTGAATATTACATGTTTTGAATTTGGTTGCTTACCATTGACCTATTTTTGTAAACTTTTTTTTATATATTTTTTTTTTCCATCAACCCCCTTTCACCCATACCTAAATTATAGTATGTAAATGGTGAAATGATTACAAGTGGATCTTTTTCTTTAAAATCTTAACCTCCCTGGCATGGAATTCCCAGTAGCAGAAGGCAGCTGAAGAATCCACAGAATGGTGCTGGAGAGTGGCTTGCCCACACACACGCGCAGATGACAAAATACTGTCGTCATAAGCCAGCATAGCTTATACTGTGTCCAAATGGACAAATGGGATTGAAAGAGTTCTTTTGGCAGTCCTTCTCTGTTGATGTCATATATCCCAGTGTTCTCTTTAAAATTCCTTGTCCCCCAGTTGCTGTCATTAACAATGCCTTATTTGTTCATTCAGTTCTATATCATGTCACTCTCTAAATGCTTTTGATTTAGTTATCTTGCTGAAATACCACAAACCAACAGTGGAAGTGAGTTATGGCTGTATTTGTTGCTGTATGGTTTTATTCAACCAGCATGTAATGTCTTGAAAATGTAAATTCATTGATTTAATTTTTTTTTAAATAAATTCATTTTTTAAAATCCCAATACTGATTTGGTGGTTCTGTAACATTCCACAGTGACCATGTGATCATGTCCTCTTCTGAAAGTCTTATATGCTTTGAAGTATTGTATAATTTCATGTACTGCAAATCATCTGCATCTGGACACATTTAAAAAAGTTTTTTTTTTTTTAACAAATAGCAAACTTCAAATTCAAGAGTATTTTATCGCCACTTAACCTAGTTTATATTTGGATTTAAGTGTAGTGCAGCAGTAGGAGACAGAAAGAAGACAGTTATATCATGGCAAAATGCCATTAGATGCATCAGGTACACTTAAGTACAGTGTGTGTGTTGTGAGGTACTGTTAATAGTCGGAAAAATTGTTGGTTTTAGTGCCCCCCCCCCCCCTCCTGAAGCATGTCTAGCACTCACTCCTATGATCTTTGATAGCTTGGATGTCATTTGTTCCAGGTTCCTCTTCATGCATCTTTGCTTCCATTACTGATGGTCATGGATGATGTTAAGGTACTTTGAATGATAGCTGTGTAGAACTCAACCTCGAGCTCTTTGATTCTGCACTTTGTCTGATGCAGTAACAATATCTGTTTGACCTTCTTGCTTTCATGATTATATTTAATTCAATTTTGAAATGTCTGTCAAGAAATTTGAAAGTGTCTGGTTATTTAAGTCTATGCACCATGTTACTTCCTGAGCTGTCTTTTGCTAGGTTTGAAACCGGTTTCTTTGTTTGTGATTACTCCAATTAAGCATACTTATACTGTAGGTCTTGGCTGAGTTGTCTTTAGGAATCCAGTAACAATTTGAGAGAATGATGTCTAGCAGAAATAGTACTTTGGTCATACTAAGAGTTGCACTGAATATGTGTACAGGTGTAGTGGCACAGATGTGAGGGTCTGAGAAAGCTGGTTAACTTGCATAATTTTTGGACTAGGAGGATGAAGGGTTTGTCTTCTCCTTGCTGCTCTGGTACTCCCCTTATAGGTCCTTTTGTGTTCCAGATTTCAAGCTGTGATTGAGCAGCTATGCAGCTGTTTAGCAACTTCTGGTAGAGAGATGTCTCTTGGGATGAATAGTCCTAAATACTGTATTCAGTTAGCCTAAAACAAAATAAGGGAAGTAAACCCTTTCATACGCCATCTTTTTTGAAGAAGTGGTACTGTACTGTATAGCTAAATAACTATGTATGTATCCCCTGCCTTCAAAGAGAGAATATTGCCTCCTACTGGCATGTCCAGATCACAGATTCTGCAACAATAGAGTAAGGATTGCAATTTTTGCTTTTTAATAGGGAAATTGCTTCAAAAGTGTTTTCAGCACCACTTATAGCTACCGCTTCATCTGTAATAGCACTTGACATACTTGGAATATACCCAAAATGGTATATTTATTGCTTGTAGTTCATTATAGGGGGCAGAAAGTGAATATATGCTTGCCTCTCAAATAAACAATGCATGGATAATCACACAGTTCAAGATTTTTTTTAATGAACATGTTTCCTTTAAAAGATAAGCCTTGCTTGCTCACCTTTCAGCAGTCTGTATTGGCACTAGTCAGAGATTAGTAATCCATAGTGTTTGCCAAATGTGTGTTTTTCTCGAGCCCAAGGGAGGGATGTATGGGACATGCTGGGGGAGGGAGGTGGCACAGCCCCACACGCCTGTGCTGGGTGTCACTGCTGTGCTCTTCATTCGGTACAAACCAACTGAAAAGGTAAGAGCTGTGATGCTTGAAAGACGTGCTTGGTTTTAGCATCAGAAAGTGGAAATGTTGCATATGTATGCTACTGATATTTCTGGCATTTATAATGTTTATGTGAAATGAAACCCTCATTACCCGCAGTTTTTGTATTTGATTATATATGCTAATTTTAATAGGATATTTTTTCTGTACCTTTAGGCATGCCAGTCTTGTAATGGATATGGATCTGAAACAGGCGAAATTGGGTGTAGCTATGTGCTGAGATCAGGTTTTCAGTAAATATCTTGCCAAGATAGAATAGGTTGTGTAATTCTAAAAATTTTAACCTTTGAAAACTGACATTTAAGTTTACTAGTCAAATAGATAATAAAATGTCACAAATTAATAATCTTTGTCAGTTTGTTGCGCATGTTTTTTACTGCAACATTCATAGTGGTCCCTTTTTCACTTTGCTTTCACCCCCAGGTCTAATGTTTTAATATATAGTTTAATTATGTTTTCATAAACTTTAACTTCCAGTGAATTCCGGGTACCATAATTCCTTCTTCTTTGCTATGTGCAAAAAAGTATTGAGGTTAGCTGTATGCAGGTGGAGAAGAGCACAAAGTGGGTATGGAGCTGTGTGCAGGTGGAGCAGAGCACCGAGTGGGTATGGGGCTGTGTGCAGGTGGATTAGAGCACAAAATGGGTATGGGGCTGTGAGTAGGTGGAGCAGAGCACCAAATGGCTATGGGGCTGTGAGTAGGTGGAGCAGAGCACGAAGTGGGTATGGGGCTGTGAGCAGGTGGAGCAGTGCACCAAGTGAGTATGGGTCATAGTGGAGGTGGAGCAGAGCACCGAGTGGGTATAGGGCTGTGTGCAGGTGGAGTTGAGCACTATGTAGGTATGGGGCTGTGTGCAGGTGGATTAGAGCACTAAGTAGGTTTGGGGCTGTGAGTAGGTGGAGCAGATCACCAAATGGCTATAGGGCTGTGTGCACGTGGATTAGAGCACTAAGTAGGTTTGGGGCTGTGAGCAGGTGGAGCAGAGCACCAAGTGGGTATGGGGCTGTATGCTGGTGGAGCAGAGCACCAAGTGGGTATGGGGCTGTGTGCAGGTGGAGCAGAGCACCAAGTGGGTATAGGGCTATGTGCAGATGGAGCAGAGCATCAAGTGGGTATGGGGCTGTGAGCAGGTGGAGCAGAGCACCAAGAGGGTATGGGGCTGTATGCTGGTGGAGCAGAGCACCAAGTGGGTATGGGGCTGTGTGCAGGTGGAGCAGAGCACCAAGTGGGTATAGGGCTGTGAGCAGGTGGAGCAGAGCACCAAGAGGGTATGCGACTGTGTGCAGGTGGAGCAGAACACCATGTGGGTATGAAGATGTGTGCAGGTGGAGCAGAGCACCAAGTGGGTATAGGGCTATGTGCAGGTGGAGCAGTGCACCACGATGGTATGGGACTGTGAGCAGATTGAGCAGTGCACCAAGTAGGTATGGGTCATAGTGGAGGTGGAACAGAGCACTGAGTGGGTATAGGGCTGTGTGCAGGTGGAGTTGAGCAATAAGTAGGTATGGGGCTGTGTGCAGGTGGAGCAGAGCACTAAGTAGGTTTGGGGCTGTGTGCAGGTGGAGCAAAGCACCAAGTGGGTATGGGGCTGTATGCAGGTGCAGCAGAGCCCTAAGTGGGTATGGGGCTGCATGCAGGTGGAGCAAAACACCAAATTGGTATGGGGCTATGAGCAGGTGGAGCAAAGAACCAAGTGGGTATGGGGCTGTGTGCAGGTGGAGCAGAGCATCAAGTGGGTATGGGGCTGTGTGCAGGTGGAGCAGAACACCAAGTGGGTATGGGGCTGTGAGCAGGTGGAGCAGAGCACCAAGTGGGTATGGGGCTGTAAGCAGGTGGAGCAGAGCACCAAGTGGGTTTGGCGGGGGGTGTAAACCCATCTGTCTCCATGATCTTCACAGAGCTATATCTGTAAGGCTTGTAAGGACACATTGCTGTGTTTGTTTATCCAGTGTCAGTAGACTAGTAAAAAATGTAAAAAGATCATGCCAGTCCACAGTGTTTTTATTGTCACGATAAATCCCAAAATCAGATATAATTATGATTTACATGATTATTCAGAATGAATATTATCACTTTTACTTACCAAGGTCATTTAGTATAGCTTTATACCTAGTAAGAAGCAAAATTGTAATTTTATTTATGATAAAAAAAATTGTAATACTAAGTGTTATTCAAAATTCTAAATAAATTAGTCATTTAAGTTTTATTTTTAGGTTACAGCAACAATGCCATAATTAAATTGATATACTGAACTACTTTATGGATATTTACTAAAGCATGTTTGCAAATCATTAATCACTGCGCTGCTCACTGAAAACAAAACACAATAAAGACAATTCAGAATTTCTGAAAAAGTGTGGTTTCACTATGTCAACCATAAATTATGAGTAAGGAAGATAATGAATTGCTACATTATGGATTGGATAACTCTTAAATCTTAAAGCAGTTTTCAAAAGAATATGGACAAATTATGATGAAAAGCACGTATTAGTTTTGTGGGGCTGTGAAGGATACCATTGTTTTTTTTAAGTTATATATGAGGCTTTCCAATGTTTTTATGAAAACAACTTACCTTTAAAGGCAAAACTCTTACAATGTTATGGAATTAACCTTCAAATGAACTAAATCACATGTCTATGTCTGTTGGCCAATTAACCTTTGTTAATCATTTTAGTACTCTGCCATATTGTGTAGTTATACAATTATTTAATACTTCGCCTGAGTCTTCTCATCGTAACCTTATAAATGCACACCTCTCCACTTTGTGTTATACATTCCTCTTTATCTCAAGTTAATATATTTTAAGACAATTACATCATACAGTGTACAAAAATAGATTCATTTGTTCATAATTGTGATAAAACAAAGGCAAGACGAAAAAGATGAGGGTAAGGGTTTGCAATTACCTAATGCTCCTAGGTCCCATGAAGGAAAAAGAAAGGCAGACAGAGGGAGAGGCCGAGAAACTGAGAAAAGGGGATTATTGTGATTAAAAGACAATTATGTGTGTGCATCAACTTCCCTGTGCTGGTCAGTGTCAGGCTCGGGCTGTCCTATTCTTCTCCCTGGGCAGCACATCGGAACAATGCTGCCTCTGTTAGGGAGGGCAGAGGCACATCTCATAGTGCGACTGCACTCACACTTATTGTTTACTCCAGTGTTTGCAGTCATTAGCTTCCACCATGCCACAGCTTTGATTGCCAAAGAAGAAGGAAGGGGCATTTTCACTTCCATAATTTTAAGTTTGTCTTGGTGAACTATAGGCAGGCCTCTGTGGTACCAAAGGTTTATCATGTGTGGCTGATGTATGAAGCAGAGTCTGCTGTAAGTCTGAAGTTAACTGTATTTAAATCACGACTCCTTTTTATCTACTGAATGAAACTACACCATTATTTAAAAGATGCACATTTCTATTGCATGGTTTCATATGTCAGTCTACCTGTGCAATACTGACATTTTAATATTAATGTGAACTGGATCAATTAGTAAGATTATATTATTGTTAAAAAGACTTAAACCAATGGCTTAATTTTCTGAAGCAGTCACAGACAACACTGAGTAGAGAAAATGAATTTTCCTACATGCTGACACCTATCTATGTTCACAGTGGTCAACTAAGGATGGACTAAGGAAACTGCTATTCTTCTGAGTTGTTTTTTCTTTGGAGGACTGGGAAACAGTGCAGTCCTTTGTGGTGCTGACAGTGCAAGCCATGGATTTATGAATGACTATGCCTAGGGATGGAACAATACTATTATCCTGAGGGACTGATTTTCATACAGAAGGGAGGGTGCCTGAGTATAGAAGGGAGAGTCCAATGAAGGAGGGGAGTATTTACCCCGCCGTCCTAATGGGGCATGGTACAGAGAGAGCCGAAGCAGACACGTCCCAGAGCACACCCACTGGACATCTATGTGGGACCACTAACTCATGCTAAGAAAACTGAAGGAGAGAGGAAAAGGCCTAGCCACTCGTCTGTTTAGTGAGTTATGTTTTGTTATATTGCACATTTTAGAATGATTACAGTAGAATACATAGTATGTTATATATTAATAATTATATATATATATATATTTTTTTTTTATTATTATTATTTTTTAAAAGTTTTTTTTCTGCTGGTTATTGAATTTTCCGTGCCTGCAAAATTTGGATATTGTATTTTCTTTTCTCATTCAAGGTGCTAGTGTATATGCTTTATGATTCATTACATTTAGCACACCCTCAATTTTGCTTAGGTTTGATATAATAGCTTCATGTGGAATTCTAGGTAAATGTATTTCATGAAAATGTCAGTTTGAATCATGTCTAATTTAGAGAAATTTGCTTAATCTTTCATTACTAAAATATCAATACTTTGATAACGTCTACATAAAGATAGTTAAATTGGGTTTTTACATTAGATGTAGTTGATTTTTAAATCTTTGTTAATATTCCTTAATTGGACTGTTTAGTTGATGAAAATCGTGTTTTTTATCATTATATGAAGCCCAGGTTAAAGTTTAGCTTTTCTATATTTTTTTTATCAAATAAGTGCAATCTCATTTTTCATAACTCAGAAGATTCTTCCATTGTAATTTCTAATTGTCATTTTTTTAAATGTTAATTTCCCCAGGTCAAGTCAACAGTTTTTTTCTTTTTACTGTATGTTTAATACACAGGCCAGCATTAGAATTCAAAGCAGATAGAGAGATTTAGGGAATTCTGGGAGATTTGAGAAAAGCAAGAGGGAGGCTAGAGGATAGTATTTAGCCATGATATAATTACCTGTTATCTTTGTTCTGTAGTGTCCTAGAGGTAGACTTGCATGCTCAGTTTCTGTGCTGAAATGTTCTTTTATTATATTTAGAGTCTTTCTTAAGTAGCAATGTCATACACTATTCAAACCATGTTTTGTCTGAAAGATAATGAATGTAGAGGACTCTTTTCACCATATGCTTATGATTTGTGTCTGTAGTTACTTCCTCTGCATGGGAGAATGGTTTCTTTGACTGTTGTACAAAATACACGTGTTTTTTGCTCTTAGAGTCAAGATATATTTTTGCTTTTGCTCAATAGCAGTATTTTGTGTTCCATGTGTTTTATATGTCTTACTTTCAGTGCAAAGGTCCAAGGACTGCAAAATGCTTGTCATTTTTAGCATTGGTATGCTTGCATACCTTTTAACTTACTTGTCATGGTTTTTCCGGAGTTTGGCTTCTGAGATTGCCAATTGTTGCCCCCTGCTGGGGAGAGGAAGAGATAGCTCTCTGGTGAGAGGGGCCCTGTCGTTCGCCATCTGCCCAGTAGGCCCAAGCCGGGCCACGCAGTGCAGGGCTCCAGTAACTGAGCCAGAGACACAGCTTGGCAGCAGAGATCATACTCACACAGGCATGTATGCACACAAACACACACCCACACACAATGTATCAGTTGTCCACTCACTAAACAAACAGAATCTGTTTACTTTAATGTTTACTGTTTACTAAATTTCCCCAGTCTGGGATCAATAAAGTCTTATCTTACTTATACAGCCTTTGTGTTTCACCATTTCTTGTTCTTTCGTGTCCACCCTTTCTTTGTTATTTTGATTTCTGAATATCTTCTCAGACTTACCCATTGACATTAACTGCACTGTGCGCTGTAAGTCATCACTCTGCCTGTATAGTTGATTTGAATGATTTCTTTACATCCATTATTGCATTTTTCAGATGTCTTTTAAGCAGCGTAGGTTTTGAGTTGCACAATATATGAAGCAATTTAGTTCACTGGGTTATTTGCCATATTGCTTCTATTGCTCAAGGTAGCAGGAAGTAGCTAATTGTCCAAGCTACTTTGTAAAGAAAAGGTTGGTGTCCTTCATGAGTAAGTCATGCTATAAGTCACCATGCCTGTGGCTGTGATTTGCACAATTCCTCTGATTGTGAAGGAACCAGGAAAATTATTCTTTTGGCTTTGATGTACAGGATGTGACAAGGGGTACTTGTGTCAAAAGACCATCTGTCCTGTTGGTAATTATAGCCGATGGTTGTATCAGATTGGGGCTCTGTGGCAAGCTGTGTGAGGGCATGTTCTGAAGAACTTACCACTGTGCTGCCTTGATGACAACAACATTTTTTCATTCTAAACATTTTAATGTTTTTTTGATTTTCCTCCAAAATAGCATTACTGTTTAAAGGAATAGTATTAAATTTTTTCTTGGCAATGCAACAAACAAACAAGCCTGTGGGCCATAGCTGACAATACGTCACACTGCCACTAGAGAATAATGGGATTGCAATTATATTGATCACTTGGCAACTGCTGCAATATAAACTTAATACAGTTCTGCAATATTCATAACTTGAAATGCTTGACTTGCTATTGTTTGACTGTTAAGAAATGGTAATAGGAGCCTATGAGTAGCATGTATTTTCATTTTCTTAGTGTTTTGCCATCTATTTGCAGAATGATTAATATTCTTTGTTTTGCTAGGATAAAAATCATATCTTGGTGTCGGAATGTTATTGGTTGTGATCGCTAACATCCAAAAGTTATCCTGTGCTTGTGTATATAGGCCTAACTTTAGTACCTGTCGTCTGTTCGGCTTGTTGTTGTGAATGAAAATGTCCAATTAGTGATATTTCATCTGAATTGTGGCTAGTGAGACTATGTGCATGCAAGTGTTGATTCATGTAAAGATGTTGATTCATGATGCAAATGTTAATCATGTAAAGAACAATGTCTTTTTGTTGTTTCTTGGTGCATGTTAGGGCGATTGTGATGCGTCCGGACTTTGGCCCTAATATGCCATCTAACATATTTACTGGTTACAGTTATGTTCTGTTTCTGTCATTGTTAAAGCTTTAAATATGTTCCCCAGTCCAGTTTTATCTATTTTAAACAAAGGTACTACTTTTCCGCTAATGAATCGTAATTCATGCCGCCACTTCTATGTAGTTTAAGCCCCCTTTTGGCCCTGATCATTTTAGTCAACTATAAATATTGTATTCATACTTTTTATTTATTTTTTTAATAATCTGTGTATAGTGTTACATGTCAGATATCATGTTCATAATTTATTTACACGTTTTTTATTTTTATTCCAGGACCGTTTATCTTCACATACATGCATACTCACACAGTTCTTGGCAGAAATTGACAAGCGTCTGCTTGTGCCTAATAAAGAGCAGTTACAGTTGCACATCACCACCTTGTTCAGATCAGACAACCTGCAGCAACTGTCACCTCACCACTAGTGCCTGAGATTCGGTTGGCAGATTCTTGAACTCTGCACCGTAGTGGTGTAATTTACACCCATATGCACTTGGGCAGACCTCTGCTTAGTGCAAGTCTCACTCACTAAATGTGGAGACTGTGCGAGACTGACAGTGGAGGCGAGAATGGGGAGGCGGAAGGTCACATAGCGGCTTTGTTACTACAGGGGTTATTGGCTGCAGCAAATTGGCATGTGGTGTGTGTGTGGGGAAGTGGGGCGGGTCTGGCATGTGCTGCATTCATCTGCACCAACAGTGCCTGATGAATGCTACATTCAGGGGAGTGTCCCGACCCAACATCTACCCTCACCTCCTGTTAAATATTTATCTGTTTGCTTTAGGATAGCCCTCCTATGCATGAGATCCTAGTCTTTTAGCTTGCCAACAATTTGGATGATGAGATAATGCAATGAAAACTCATATTAAAGTACAAAGAAGTGGCTGCAATATGCAGAAAACCACAGTAAATGGCAACTCAGAGAACTACAATAACACAAGCCATAGTCCAATGGCCACCTTTTCATTTGCTGATTAATTCAGATACATTAATTACATTCTATAAAGCCAAATACAGCATATAAGTGGTACAGTAGTTAATCTTTTGCCTCCCCTACATGTGTAAGCTGTGTTGATACTATTACGGATTGACTGTAGTATTAAAGAACCTTGGTAGATGGAGCATCAACTGGAAGATATGTCAAGAAGGGCAAGGTATGCATGGTGTGGGCACCAGGCAGTGTGAGAAATTTCTAGATGCATATTCAAAACTGCCCACGGCACACAGTTGTGCAGCCTGCAACAGTCATTTTTTTCTTTTTCTCGGTCATAGCCCTCCACGGAGAGCAGCATATTTCACTCAGGGAGGACCAAAGAGAGACCCGTGAACTTCACTGCAGCTGGCATGAGGCAAGTTAAACAGGGCTCTTTACTGTTTACTGTGTTGCGATCATTGTATGGCTCTGTTCTGTTAGTACATAGCTCACTGTTATCTCAGCTCAACTTCAAGAAATTATGGCTGTGTTACCGTACATTCATGGAATGTCTTAGTTTTGTATTAACAAAAGTGGATTTCATCAAACTAGCTTCTGTGCAGTACTTTGGAAATTGAACTAATTTATATAAGTGCTATCCTCAATATGGAGTAGACAGATATAAGTGTCTTAAAATCATAATTAAAGAAATTACTATCTTTAATTAACTAAATAATTGTTGGAATAATTGTTCCTCTGATTAATGTTTCAAAAGAATTTATTGAGTAAGACTACTTATTTGATTACTTTTCACACTGGACTTCGAAGGGTTCTGATTTTCCAGTTGTAAGGAGAGTTGCGTATGATTTCTTTTGATATAAACTGTTTTATAAGACTGCCCACCATCTTTTAAGAGAGAGTATGTATGTTGCCTCACCACTTATGACAACACATTAACACTTTCATTCCTTACAATAGCTTATAATGCAGTACACTGTATTACAGTTCATGCATAACCTTTTCCCAAAGACAATGAGCTCTCAAACTAAACACTAGAAATAATTTCTTTAGTGTTTCAGGGTAGGACTGTAGTTGCAATGTTGTATTGTGAAACTGACTGAAAGGATCCAGCTGATGATTTGACATCAAATGTTTTGGTGTAGGTTTCTGGTATTGTATTAAGTAATTATAATCAGCATGACCATCTTACGCTATAATCATGGAGGAGTTCAAAAACGTAACTATAACTTGGTGCCAGTGCCAGAGCTTGTGCCAGTAGGAGAGCTGATGTCATTGACTGGTGCTGATGTCACTTGTTTCTGCAGAAAGAGAGAGGAGGGACTGGCAGACTTGTTATGAATTATCTTCTGGTGCCGGAAGGAGGAATCACAAGAAAATAGTGAAGGGTTGAAAGAAAGTAGAAACTCACAAATTCTACTGTTTTGTCAACCACTTTATGATTGCTAATTTAACTTGTACTAATTATTCATATACAGCGGTACCTCAGTTCTCGAACTCATTAGAACTGAAATTTCTTAAAAGTTGAACCAACCAGTTCGAAAAAAAAAAAAAAATGATAGGGTTTTTTTTAACTTTACATATTGTTTGGATACATTTATTTTCATACTTTACAAATTACTGTTTTGATGTATGTGCTTAGATGTGTTTAGTACAGTACATGTGTTTTATCCTGTTCATTTTGTGTTTAAATGTAAAAAAAAAAAAACATATTTAGGTGTAATTTTTTGGGGTTGGGAACCAATTAATTGGTTTTCTATTAATTCTTATGGGGAAAATTCTATCAGAACTCGAACTGTTTAGGATTCGAACCTGAGTTATGAACGGATTAAGTTTGAGTTCTGAGGTACCACTGTATTTAATATGAGATATTTATCAAATAATAAATTAATCCAAAATACAATAAAGTTCCAGAGCACAGAATTTTTCCTAAGTGTTGTATATTAAAAGCAGTATTTCCATCTCTTGCAGAAATCAAGTGATAATCTAAAGACATGTGGTACCCAGAACTGCTACTTCCTATTTTGCTGATTATAAAAGGTAAAGTATCCTGTTTTTGAAATTATGTTACTTATTAATAACATCAAGGGGATTCCATGTATAAACAAAGTAAATTGTATTACAGGCACCCTCAATCACCCTCTTGTCTTTTTTGTACATAATGACAACCTCTTAGGTTACCACGAGACACATCTGTTCGAAATTGTACTAGAAATACAGGAGAATAGAGTTTATATTGTTAGTATTTGTTCTGTTTTTTTTTAACATTTACTTGTTTTCTTCCTGAAAGTAATAAAGAATGGATGGATTTGTTTCTAATATTAATAGTATGTTATAATAAATATAAAAAATAGATTATTTGGCATTGATTTATAGAAGGCAAGGCTGACTTTCTGCTCCCATTTCCCATCATCCCTCTCTCCCAGACGCCAGTGCCCAGTGGAATGTATGGATGCCACGGGACATCTCAGCCATGACTAACTCATGCGTGGTCATCCCTTGCACCTTCATGTATCCATCAAACATTCGTCCCTCACGTGGTGTGCATGGTATCTGGTACTTCGGCCAGCCTTACCCACAGTTCTTTCCCCCTGTGGTCTTCAAATCACGCACCGACATAGTGAATGAGAGCTACAAGGGCCGCACAAAGCTTTTAGGTGACCTGAATCAGAGGAACTGCACCCTGCGCATCAGCAATGTTGGCGCTGAACATTCTGGGAGGTACTACTTCCGGGCAGACCTAGGGGGTGCCAACATCTTTACCTACCCCGACTTCTCCGAGCTCAAGGTGTTGGGTATGTTGTGTGGGGTTAGAGGGCTTGGTTTTTAGCTTTCATGGGTAACTGCGTGCTGTCGTATCACTGCCTGGTTTAATCTTTTATGAACCAAGTAATCAGAGGGTAGGTTAAACCAATCGGTGACATGCAGCACAAAAGAATCTCACCAACAACATTTTCCTCCTCACTGATAACTGGAAAGTGTTGATATTTTTTGATAATGACTTGGTGAGTTTTTTCTTGATATTTGAGACTGATGGTGTGATTTCCCTCAAGGTTGCCTGTATCTTCAATGTACAGTTTATTCACAATTAAATTTTACTGTTAAGTTATCCAGACAGAACCGTGGTAATTGAGCACCACAAAATGGAAATACTTGCACAAATACTTGCAAAAATTCTTATGAGCCCCAATTTAATACACTTCTATAGTGCTGAAAAATATCTCTTAAATTTCACAGACTTTAAAAAATTCTGTTCTGACTGGAGCTTTGGTATTATACCATGAGCAGGATGACATTTAGCATCTTGTTAATTCAGTATGGATCTTTCATGTCTCATACTCGGTCTTTGTAATAGCATCTCAATGTGAGCCTTTGTCTGCCTTTCAGACCAACCCAATATTGACATCCCTGAAGAGATTGTTAGCAATGAGAACTTGGATCTAACATGCTATGCCCCAGACAACTGCCCCGACATGAGCCCCGAGATCAGCTGGCTTTACACAGACTACCTGCTGGATGCTGAATTCAGCTCCGACTATGTTGAGGAGGGAAACACAGCAGTGCTGTCCAGCACGCTTAGCTTCACCCCCAAGCCCATTCACAATGGCATGCTGCTGGGCTGCCGGGTCCATTTCCCCAACACTAGCTTCATCTATGAACGACTCGTCTCCCTCGATATCAAATGTAAGTGTCACTTACTCTTAGTTCAATATACTGCTCACAGATGCCTATAAGAAAATAAAAACAGCTAGTGTGACTGTCCATTAATTCAAAAATGTATATTTATTTGAATTTTGGCATGCAGGGATGGTAGCGCTCACTCTGTATGTAAGTTTTTGTGTTCTATCTGTGTCGTGCTGGTTAGGTGAATTTGTGTTTTCAAATGAGCTATTGTGTGCAAGCGCAGTGATGTGAGCCAGGTCTGGCAGAGAGAAATAGATATCACATATATTTCTATTTGTGTAACAATGGAAAGTGTGTAATACAGTACTGTGCAAAAGTATTAGGCAGTGGAAAAAAATCTTTAAAGCTATTTATCTGACTAGTAAGTGTATATTTTCTCAGAAAAAAACATATGTCTTAATATGTAAATTGAGAGTGACCCTATAAAACTAACAATAATTTCTTGTGTTCTCCAAAAGTCACTGATATCTTGCTGGATGACTGTAATAACACTCCTTCAGTTCCCAAACATTTCTTCAGGGGCACCCTACCTTTTCCATGTATTCATTAAATTTCACCATCAATTAATCAATTAATTCATTAATTTAATTAAATATCTCCATGAAGTATTGATTAGCATGTACACCTACAGGTAATTTGGTAACTCCAATTCACCTCAGCATGTTTTTGGACTGTGGGGGGAAACCGGAGTACCTGTAGGAAACCCATAACAACAGAGGGGGAACATGCTAACTCCACACATATGAAGCCATGGTGGAGACACAAACCCTGGTCGCAGAGGGGTGAGGCAACAGTGCTAACCACTGTGCCACCATGCCTCCCCTGTCTCCCCTGCACTGTTGCCTCACACCTTTTTTTTCCCTGATACTGGGATTCATCCTGACAGACTCTCCTCGCTCTGTCTGGGTGAACGTGTCCCGGGAGGTGATGGAGGGCAGCTCGGTGTCACTTTACTGTGAGGTGGACAGCAACCCTCCTCCCCGCATCTCCTGGATGTTTGGTGATGAGGAGCTGCTCTGGGATACGGCCTTGAATGTCTCCCTTCAGCTGGAGCAGGTGGGCTCCCTTCAGGATGGAGTCTACACCTGCATTGCTGACAATGGATATGGCACCATGAACAGCTCCATGTACCTTGCTGTCAAGTGTGAGTCTCCAACCTGGAAATGCAGAAGGGAAATTAGACTTTAAAGCTCCACTTAACAAAAGTTACGACATAAAAGTATTTGTACATCTTTGCATGTTAAATTAATATTCACTCTCTTAAGTAAATACTAATATCTCAAATTGTGTTTGTACTGTATGTAATGTGTATTTTTTTTTCCATTATAGTAACTTGAGATTACAAAACTGCATGTACCAGTGCCACGCCAGTACTAAGTAGCACATAGACAGTATTAAGTAGTAGTATTTAGCAATAAATAGGACTGATATTGTTGAGAGTAAAGAATGAGTCGCAAGAAAACTGAAAAAAAATAATAATCACATTATTTGAAATTCCTGAAGCACCTTCCTTGCACACCACTCATGGCCCTTTTTTGTTTTCCTGTGTCTTTCTGCATTTTGCTGGCAGACCCCCCACGGGAGCCCTGGGTGAATAGCTCCATCACTGTGCAGGAGGGCTCTACGCTGGTCCTGCACTGCAGCACCAAGGGAAACCCCCCACCCACACTCACCTGGCTGAAGGACGGTGTCTTGGTGGGCACCATCACAGCAGAGGAGGTGTCTGTACTGGAGCTGGTGGAGCTGACCCCCCAAGCGGATGGCATGTACCGCTGCCTGGCCGAAAATGAACACGGCCGATCCAGCAGCTCGCTTAACGTCACCGTCGAGTGTGAGCCACGAATCATTTACTCCAGCAGTTTTATTGCTTTATTGCAGGACATGTGGCCCCATCAGCATGAGTGGCATCATGTATGACAGAATTTCCCAATTCTGGTCCTGGAGGGCCAGAACCAACACACCTCCCTGCTCAAACACATCTTTAATCTGCTCTTTACCAGGTTTAGTAGGTCAGTCTAAGCAGGGAAATCTGCAAGCTGGGTTACAAACTAGCCCTGCAGGACCGTAATTGGGCAATCCTGATGTATGATCATTTTAGCACTACACTGACAGTACATGTGAAAACTCTTTTCCATTTTCTCTTCAACCAAACCTGGATTTAGCAGCATTGACTGTTTTGTGCCCCCTTTCTTAAAGTATAGACTTCCCTACAAACCTCATAACATAACTAGTTTAAAACTTTAATTTTGTTCCTCAACCATTCTGACACAGGCTTGCTAGTGTGTTTCAGATTGTTGTCTTGCTACCAAACCTAGATGCATATCCTTCATTGATAACCAGGTCCAGATACAGCAAACCATAACACCGCCACTTCTTAGTTGAGAGGCGATTTTGAGCATGCTATTTTGCTGTGCAATTTGTTTAGCCTAGTCTGGGTGGAGTCATAATTTAAAAAATTCTGGTTGAAGTTCTGATCGGATGATTTTATGCAAAAGGCCATTCCAAGGCAGATTGATTAGAGTTGCAAACTGTACAGTATTGGACAGTATGGTTTCTGGTTTAGTGAATTTAGTGGAGTTAGAAGCTCATAGGCAACAACCTTTATCCAGGATTTTAATATTGTGAGAAACCACTTGAACTTGGGCTATAATTAGCTAGATAGGGAATTACTTGGAGGGGGTACATAAGAACATAAGAACTATACAAACGAGAGGAGGCCATTCGGCCCATCGAGCTCGCTTGGGGAGAACTTAACTAATAGCTCAGAGTTGTTAAAATATTATCTAGCTCTGATTTAAAGGAACCCAAGGATTCAGCTTGCACTACGTTATCAGGAAGACTATTCCATACTCTGACTACACGCTGTGTAAAGAAGTGCTTCCTTAAATCCAGTTTGAAATGTTCTCCCGCTAATTTCCACCTATGGCCACGAGTTCTTGTATTTGAACTAATGCTGAAGTAACTATTCGGTTGAACAGCATCCAAACCTGTTAGAATCTTATAGACCTGGATCATGTCCCCCCTCAGTCTCCTTTGCTTGAGGCTGAACAGATTTAGCTCAAATAACCTTTCCTCGTATGACATTCCTCTAAGACCAGGAATCATTCTTGTGGCCCTACGCTGCACCTTTTCTAAGGCCGCTATGTCCTTTTTAAGATATGGTGACCAAACCTGCACACAATATTCTAGGTGAGGTCTCACCAAGGAATTGTATAATCTTAGCATTACCTCCCTTGACTTAAACTCCACACACCTGGAGATATACCCCAACATCCTATTGGCCTTTTTTATTGCTTCCCCGCACTGGCGAGAATGAGACATCCATCAACATACACACCAAGGTCTTTCTCATAATCAGCTACCTTTATTTCAGTAGGTCCCATAAAATACCTGTACTTTATATTTCTGCTCCCTACATGGAGTACCTTACATTTGTCTATGTTAAATTTCATCTGCCAGGTGTCAGCCCAGTCACTAATTAAATTAAGATCCCGCTGTAGCTGCTGAGCCGCTAGTTCAGTATCTGCTACACCACCCACCTTGGTGTCATCTGCAAATTTCACCAGTTTACTGTAGCCTATATATTGGTGTCTATATCATTTATGTAAATTAGGAACAAAAGTGGTCCTAAAATTGAACCCTGCGGTACCCCACTAGGTTTACACAAGACCTGATTGTTGACCAAAGCATTGAAATATCTGACGGAAATGATCCCTTTATTTAGACTGGATTAGCTATTGGAGGAGTTTGCTTGTTTATTTACATGCCAAACAAAGAATCATCAAATTCTGGTGCCATTTTGCTTGTCAAACTCCCACAATTCTTTATTTGAAACTTTGGGTTCTTGTCAAATACCTTTTTCACAGTGCTGTATAAACTGTCAATAAAACTTATTTTAATATAAATGATATATTACATGCTTCAGTAAAAAAAATAATAAATCTAAACCACAACTGTGGAAATGTTATTTACATAATTTGTTAACTTTATCCAGATTAATTTACAGCTTGAAAGATTATGGAATTAATATTCAGATGTACTTTAATTTCAATAACTATGGTACCATACAGGTAAATTATTGATTGATTAATTTAACAAAACAATGCGTAACTGCTGCACATCTGACTTGCTGCCTTTCTTTTTGCGGCAGTCGCCCCAGTGTTCCTGGAAGAGTCCAAATGCACGGTGGTGCGTGAGGGCGTCCAGTGCGTGTGCGTGGCCTTAGGGAACCCCGAGCCTATCATTGAGTTCCACCTCCCTGATCTCAACATCACCGTAAATGACACGGAGAGCCGGTTCAATTACTACACCCACACGGATGGATACACGGCTACGGGCATGATAAAGCTGCGGGAGAAGAGCAATAACGGGGGAAACGGAGGCGGGCCAGTCAATGTGCACTGCCGCGTCAGTAATGCATATGGCTCAGAGATGGTGCGCCTGGAACTCCAGCAGGAAAGTGAGCATTTCTACCAGTCACTCATACTTATGACCTGTTTGGGTGAAACTCAATAACAGGAATGAAAACATTGTGTAGTTACTTCTTTTTGCAGGTTGATTTTTATGTACATGGTTTGTGACTTTCATTGTCTTTTATTTTAATGGGTAGTTTTGACTAATCATGGGAGATACAAGGATTCAGAATCCTATGTGGATGAGATGTGCATGATTTTTTTTTTACATTTTTGAACCTTGCTTCTCTTATTACTAGTTGTAACAACCAAAATAAATATTTTAGTCTATCTAAAAATTAAGTTATAAACAAGGGGTCATTACTGCATTTACAGTAGCAGATGAAATTCTTCCAAACTGCTGTTGGATCATTGTTGGAGTGACCAGTTGAGGACAGACTCTGTTCTTCCCTGCAGAGAAGTATATGATGGCTGTGGTGGTTGGCACCATCGGCGGAGTGGCTGTCATCGCATTCATCATTGCAGCAGTCAGATATGTGGGACGCAACAATAAAAAGTGAGTTTCTTGGGTTAGAAAAAGATCAGCACTACTAATTAACAATATAGAGGGAGATAGGAGCAGGGAACATACTCTCATTGTGTACTAAGAATACCATACTTACAGGAAAATAAAAAGTAAATAGCAATTAAAATCTACGGAATGCATGCAAAGATAACGTAGGTCCCCGTCAGCTACTTTTATTAAGTGTAACTTTTTATTTCTTTTCTAACCTGCTTTGGTTATCAACATTGCTGACAATTTGTTGCTAGTTTGCTTTTCAACCAAGGTAAGAGCTAGCTAGTAAACTAAGGAATGATTACCTTAACTGTTCAAAAAGATGGCTCGAAAATGTTTTAACTGGTGGTGGCATTTCTATAACTGACTCACATCAATGCTGTCATTCAGCCCTGCGTAGGATATCACCAGCACAGCTAATAAGCTGGACAGCTTTCTAAATCTTCTATTAAGTATCACAGTATCACTTCCATTTGCTTAACTTTTCCAATGATGCCCTATTAAAGAACAAAAAACACAAGGAAAGAGCATAACCCCGATAGCGTCCTTGAATTCAAACTATAAAGCAGGAAGCACTCCACTTTCTTCTAGACTATTCTAGCTAATGATCAAATGGGTAGTTATTATTATTATTTCCATCTCTCCATCATTCACACCCACTTATCCAGTACAGGGTTATGGTGAACTGGGAAAATCTTCCTCGTCACACAGGGCATGAGGCAGGACCCCCCCCCCCCCCGACAGGATAGCAGGACACACAATCACAAACTGAGGAAGATTTAAGGGCAAGGCCACCAAATCACATAACTTCATGTTTTTGAACTAGGAGAACAAGCCAGAGTACCCAAAAAATCCCTTTCACGGTGAAAAACATCTAAATTGTTCACACACAGAGCCGCGAGGGGATTCAAACCCCAGAGCCTGGTGGGCTGCAGTGATATCCACTGAGCCAACATCTCACCTATTGTCATCAAAACACTCCCATATATTCATACAATTTAGATTCACTATATACATATATTAAGATAAACTATGTAAAGTATATAGTATAGTGTATATATGTAAATATACACTCACCTAAAGAATTATTAGGAACACCTGTTCAATTTCTCATTAATGCAATTATCTAATCAACCAATCACATGGCAGTTGCTTCAATGCATTTAGGGGTGTAGTCCTAGTCAAGACAATCTCCTGAACTCCAAACTGAATGTCAGAATGGGAAAGAAAGGTGATTTAAGCAATTTTGAGCGTGGCATGGTTGTTGGTGCCAGATGGGCTGGTCTGAGTATTTCACAATCTGCTCAGTTACTGGGATTTTCACGCACAACCATTTCTAGGGTTTACAAAGAATGGTGTGCAAAGGGAAAAACATCCAGTATGTGGCAGTCCTGTGGGCGAAAATGCCTTGTTGATGTTAGAGGTCAGAGGAGAATGGGCCGACTGATTCAAGCTGATAGAAGAGCAACTTTGACTGAAATAGCCACTCGTTACAACAGAGGTATGCAGCAAAGCATTTGTGAAGCCACAACACGCACAACCTTGAGGCGGATGGGCTACAACAGCAGAAGACCCCACCGGGTACCACTCATCTCCACTTCAAATAGGAAAAAGAGGCTACAATTTGCACGAGCTCACCAAAATTGGACAGTTGAAGACTGGAAAAATGTTGCCTGGTCTGATGAGTCTCGATTTCTGTTGAGACATTCAAATGGTAGAGTCAGAATTTGGCGTAAACAGAATGAGAACATGGATCCATCATGCCTTGTTACCACTGTGCAGGCTGGTGGTGGTGGTGTAATGGTGTGGGGGATGTTTTCTTGGCACACTTTAGGCCCCTTAGTGCCAATTGGGCATCGTTTAAATGCCACGGCCTACCTGAGCATTGTTTCTGACCATGTCCATCCCTTTATGACCACCATGTACCCATCCTCTGATGGCTACTTCCAGCAGGATAATGCACCATGTCACAAAGCTCGAATCATTTCAAATTGGTTTCTTGAACATGACAATGAGTTCACTGTACTAAAATGGCCCCCACAGTCACCAGATCTCAACCCAATAGAGCATCTTTGGGATGTGGTGGAACGGGAGCTTCGTGCCCTGGATGTGCATCCCACAAATCTCCATCAACTGCAAGATGCTATCCTATCAATATGGGCCAACATTTCTAAAGAATGCTTTCAGTACCTTGTTGAATCAATGCCACGTAGAATTAAGGCAGTTCTGAAGGCGAAAGGGGGTCAAACACCGTATTAGTATGGTGTTCCTAATAATCCTTTAGGTGAGTGTATATACACACACAAAATAAAATTAAAATAATAGCTTTCCTTTATTATTATAGCTAAGATTCGGCTGTGTCCATGATGTCCAGTGGATGTCTAAATTAGCGGTATTCAGCTAGTCACAGCTAGCAAGCCTGATCATGTGACTCCGTCCCCCAGGGAGAATGGCAACCCTGGGCAGGACCTGGTATCTAAACTGGAGAATCCTTCATTGTTCTACAGCGCAGTCAAGAAGGACAAACAAAATCTGAGGAAGAAAGTGGTGAGAAATTCTAATGCTAAAAATGATAAACTATGGTTATATTCATAATGCTATGATTATAAATGGCATCTTATAAGGAAGTAGTCAACTGTTACTTCTGTTTTTGACATGAAAGAGGTCATTTTTGAAAGTAGGGGCCGTCTCATACTCCTCTGCCTTTCTTTATTGATATAACATAACAGTTGTTTACATGTCCAACCCGTTCCTCTTACCTTTACTGATGATTCTTTGCTCTAACCTGCTTCTGTAGTGCGCATTCCAACCTGTTATTTTACAGTGGTCATGCTTCATCGCTCCTATGCATCTGTGTCTCTGTTTCTCTTCCCTAACTACCACACAGCTAAAGACTGAGCTTTTGGGCTCAAAGTTTAACTCGATCCTTGAGGAAACCTCTACGGTAAGGTTCAGACATCAGAGTATACGTATACTTGTCAACAAAAACTTGGTCTTGTGAAAACTAAGAGCAGTTCCCTTTGTAATGATTTAGATTTACACAATGTAACAGAATTTCCCAGTACATTCAGGACACTTGTAAAAATTGCCTTGTCCATTTCTCTACTCCAGGGAGACGATGGAGATTACCAGCCGGTGGCTTCCATGGCAGAGTTGGAGAAGCAAGAGCTGAACTATGCTGCCCTGGAATTCATTGGGGGACGGTCTCGAAATGGGGCATCTGTGCAGGGGGACGACGGCAGTGACTACACTGAGATCAAGGCCAAATGAATCGCACTGCTTCCCTGATGCCCCAGCTACGCGAGATGCACAACAGGTGCTCGTCACCTGCATTTCTCAGCACACTTCCCTCTCTTACTCTCCTTCAGTAGCCACATTCTCTTTTTTTGTTTCCCATTTTTTTGTTACACTAACTTAGCAGTTTCCCCAAACCCAGCCAGCCCCTGCTGGCTGCAGTATAGTGATTAGCTCTGCCACAGTCCTCTGAGATGGCTGTTTCATGCTGTATTGGAGAATGACACTTTGAATGAAGTTAAAGCTTCAGTTCTTGCCATTCTGAGCTCCCAACTCCCCTTCTCTCTGCGACATATGCTCCTCCTGCAGTCTGCTTTTTGCCACTTTTGGTTCTAGAGTTTGTGACAAACTGACCCTCTTTCACGGTTTAGTTTCCATAAACTTTTATTTGCTGTGGCTATCTCTGTCCTTCTTGCTCTCTCAATCTTCTTATCCTAATATCAGCTTCAACTTGCCTTGTCCTCTCCAACCTGAAATGTCAGGGAATAGGAATTGTAAACATGCTTTGGCATCTCCACCTTCATCTCAAGTTCAGAAGAGACGACCTCCTCATCTCCTAGACCAATGTGATTCTCAAACATCACATATCAATGATGCCTGTTTTTCATTGCATTCTATCCATCTATTAACTTCATAGGATTTCAGGCGTGTATGTAATCTACTTTGAAATGGTGAATGGAAATGAAAATTTGTTTTTATTAAAAAAATATGGATTGTAAGTTTAGGCAGTAGACTGGGGAAATGCAGAAAACGATTTTGGAGTTTTGAGGTGGTAAGAGAACCCTTTGCAGTTTCATGTGTTTGATAAGTGGTCCAATGTGTCTATCATGGTTGTGTTTGCCTCTGTCACCCCATGCATACGATGTTCCAATTCATGAGACATTTCAGTTTTTGAATTCATCTGATTTGTTTCCTTCAGTGTTTACCCCATAATATTATTGTCTGGCAGTTTTTTTATTTATTTATTTTTTTTTTATAGCAAAGTTTAAATTATTTACATTCATGGCAAAAGAACCCAGTTTGTTCTGGGTCAGTCTGTCAGCCTTATGTAGTGTCTACCAAACAAAAAAGTATACTTCACTGAGAGTTTGCGTGTGAATCAAACCAATCGTGTAAAGTATATTGTTATATCCTTTCCTGAATATGCTTCTAAAAATGTATTCTGAAATTGTTCTTAAGCATGTAATTAATAACCCTGTTATAAAGATTGTCTTGTTATAATGATGTAAAAGATTATAAATAATCCCAGAGTGACACACAGTATGCTAAGCGACTAAATCCACAATGTTACTCAATACATCTGAATAAATAATTTTCAAAAAGGAATATTTTACCCATATGTGATTAAACTTGTATTTGACAGCTCACAATAAACATGAGTAACTAACCCATGTTTAAGCATTCCTTATGCAAAAATGAAAAGCAAAAGTATAAAGAGGAAAATGTAAATACATGTATATACTTTGCATGGTGTTACCATCATTTAAGGTTTTAAAGTCCACTTATAAATGCAGTGAATAAAGCTTTTTCCTTTTAGTTTTGATATGCATGAACATCACCTCAGATAAGTGTAGGATGTAGCTCAGTTCCCTTTGTTTTTTATTTCAAGTTTATTCTAAAATTATATATATATATTATATATATCCTGACGCAATGCATTCCGGTTAGATGCATTGCGACCTCTCACCCAGCGGCACAAACTGGAACCGCCTCCGTGACGACACACCTTTTCCCTTATTGGCTGAAGAGTTTAGTTACACGCATGACATTTGTATCCCAGGCAGTTCCGATGCGTAATCTGCTATTTTTCCCGAATATCAAGTGAAGCAGTGAGAACTGGTTTTCAGTTAATTTGCCTGGTAAAATAAA